CCCCTGGTTCGGCAGGGGGGTTTGGATTGGAGGACTCACAGAGGTCCCTTCCAACCCCTACCATTCTGTGATTCTGTAAGAAATTACTTCCATATTAAGCAAATAGGAAATGGCACCTGTAAACAAAACAGTTAAGGTACAACCTGTAAGGAATGTGATCACATACAAAACAATATTCATAGCAGGGAGAGTTGTAGAGTAGTTAAGATTTATGTACTGTTACACTTGATCAGAATAAAAGCAGACAGAAGTCACCAAATTATATGCATAGGCCATGATGAGAAAGTAAACAATTTCAAATTGATAAAAACAATTTTAAAGAGACAACATTTATTGGAGGACAAATGAAACACTTAAGTTTTATTCAGCTTTATGATGCTGTAGTTGAAGCACTCCCATTAGACAAGGTCTTGTTTTTCTCATTTATTTGAAGAGAGAAAACACCTTGGCTCTCACATGAAATGGTAGAGTTGACAGATGTTGGTTGCAATTTTCTTGCTTTCCCTTCTATTATCTCAGGCTGTGGCAGAATGCTCAAGAGACAGCTTCCCTGAAGACAACTGTCTGGGCCAATATCTGAAAAGGAGTGCATTATGGCACATTTTCTTCGGTGATAATTAAAGATACTGAGAACATCTCATTGCAGCTTCGGAATATTAACAACATGAAAATTAGTTACCTTTACTTAACTCACAAAATGCTGTCATTAACCGAATGGCAGCAGCAAGACATTTGTAAAATGAACAAAGAACTGAACTCTTCCCCATCTGAACATCAACAAAGTAACAATTAATTTGAAATCATTATTTCAAGTAACCATGCAGACTAATCAAAGAATGGATTGCCTTCTACTTGTTAAAGTATGACTCAATTTAATTTTATTTTTATTAAATAACAATTCACTGATCATGTTATCACACCAGGTTTTCCAAAACAGCACAAGATCAATCTTTCCCATTACTGCCTTTTACAGCACCTACTGTATCTAGGTACACAGCTTTACAAATACCTCCTGAGAAAACCTCCTAACCTCAAAGCAGGAAGTTCACTGTCTGATCAACACTCCTTATGTGATCAGAATTCATTCAGTCTTTTCTTATACATGTAACTGAAAGCTTTGCACATGTAGATTATGCATCTACAAAATCTTCTTCTGTTCTGCTGTAGTGCAATAACTGGTCTTCTAATCCAAACGTATCTATCAGCTGAGTAAGACTCACTTTCTTGCCATCTGCAGAAAAGGCTGACTGTAGTTCACATAGCATCAGCTGGGTACGACTTCTCCACTTCGCTATCAAAGCCTGCAGTTCAGACAGGTTGTTCTGCAATTGGGACAAAAAAAAAAATCTGCAACTTGTCATTTGCTGAAATGTGGTGGGTTTTGATACCCTATTTTTATAAAACACCTTAAACTGAGACAGTACACAAACAGCACACAAAAAAGTGAGTCAGTATTGTTGCTGAAGTTAATAAATGAGGATTACACTATGAATTCTACTTCAAAGAATTACTTAAAACTGCTTTTTCAGAGGTTCACCTCACCTTAGATCGATACATCTTAACCAGTTTGAGCCTTCGAAGCAGTTCTTCCTTCTCTTGCACTTGTTTTACCAGCCTTACTTTTTCTTCCATGGACTGTTGCTGGCCAAGATCAACCTGTAGCACATCAGAATTCTCTGCTAATCCACAGAGACCACTCTCCTGTACGGGACTTTTGAAACATGTATGTCCAGTGCCATTTCTTTCCAGGTTTTCAGAACCATCTTGTAATCTGGAACAATCTGTACTTGTCTTTGGCTGGCACCCTTTGTCAGCATCAGCACAGTCTTTTTCTTCAGTGTCTATTTTGAGCCGCTTTGCCACTGTAAAATTAGCATTAAATGAACGTCTTGTTTTCCTTAATCGCTCCCTCAGAGCTGCACTCATTGGCTAAAAAAAGAAAAAAATAAACAAAACCAAAAAACAGAGGAATCAGAATAATCTAATTTTTGATCAAATGTCAAAGAACTGTTTACCCTGGTTATTATTTACATAGATTATGTCATATATGTAAAGATCATTGTAAAACCAGACTTCCTAATTCCCTCTATAGCTTTCACAAATTTGAACAAAGTTAACGCTTTCCTTTCACATATATTTGCACACACAGCTGCAAGATATGGAAAGATGTACCTCCACATTTTCTGGGAGCAAATCCTGTATTCCGTTGAGGCAAACCTACTCATCTAGTCTTTCCGCAGAAGATACATGGCATTTTTCAACTTGGCTGATTTTATTCCATCATGTTCAATTTCCCCCTCTAGTTTACTGGAGATAAGGGATAGGGGTTTTTTGCTGTTCCATCCCACCACATTTACACTTTGTGTTAGCACTAGTATAAAACATGTTTTGTTTTTTTAAACAATCTGCGTCTAACATTTTTACCTGTGAAAATGAACTAAAATACGGGAGAGAGTGATCAGCCAACAAACACTTGCAAACTAGCCCTATCCTGCATAGGTCTGGATGCTGAGCATGACAGCATCACCATAACGCCTGCTAGGATGGACACCAAAGTAGAGCTCAGCATTACAGAGAATTTATAAACTGAAAGCAGTGTACTTTCTTCAAGTGCAAGCAGAAGTTGCAGAAAGTCATTCTGCATGCACAGCAACCCAGAAAACTAGGATTTGAGAAAACTGAAGAGGAAATTAAAAAAACAACAAAAAACCCACCACAAACCCTAAACAGTATTTAAATTTATTAGTGTGGCATTTGAGTTATACTGCTCCATCCCTTTGTATTCACAGCAAACATCTGCATATTCAAGCAAAGTATACCAAGCACACTCCTCACCTGGACAACCTTGTAGCTGTAGGTGTAAGCTACCTATCTTTAGCTTTCCAGCAAACAGTAGCTCAGTGACTTCCAACTCCTTGATGATTTCACAAGTATTTTGGTTGCTATGAAGAGTCACATTATTGGGGAAAAAAAAAAAGGTTTCATACCTGTTTCCATGAACTAGTCCCCTGCGGAACTGCTGTCCCAGAAGCCTCTGGAGTATGGCACAAAGATGTTAATTTATCGAGCACTGGTTCTTCCATCTCGAGATGGATAGCAGTTTCTGTTAAAAGACAGAATGAATTATGAATGATGCCATTTTCAGCTGATTATAATGAGCCATGTCACTGCAGAAATGAGTAAAAAGCTCTAATAAAAAATACTAAGGCTTATTTTCTAATTTCTAAGTTCGAAAAAGATATCTGCATAAGTTACACAACTGTTTCATGTGCTAAGTAGCATCTTGCTTTGTGAATGGCTCTTCTTCAAGAAGATGAATGACACTACTAACTCATATAAAGTATCTTACTATGAATTTTTGATATTATTTTTCCCCTCACTCACAAAGCTCTACGGAATTTTTTCTTTAAAAGATTAAAAATACTATAAATAGTCTTACAGGTATTCTCCATTATCTTTTTTTCCATCCGATATCCTCTTTCAAGTGTTAAAAAGGAGCAAGACAACTTAAGAAGCAATTGAACCCAGTATGGTATGCCTACAAATCCAGGGTCAGATCCTGCAACATCAAAGTCATCAAAAAAGCTCACTCCAAACAAACTG